GCGGAGCAGCTGCATCCAAGCCTTACATCACCAAGTGCAATGCAAAGCGGCGGATGCAGTGGTGTAAAGCACGCCGCCACTGTACTCTAGAGCAGTGGAGATGCCTTCTCTGGAGTGATGAATCACGCTTTTCTGTCTGGCAATCCCATGGACAAGTCTGGGTTTGGTGGTTGCCAGGAGAATGGTACTTGTCTGACTGCATTGTTCCAAGTGTAAAATTTGGTGGAGGGGGGATTATGATGTGGGGTTGTTTTTCAGGAGCTGGGCTTGGACTCTTACTTCCAGTGAAGGGAACTCTTAATGCTTCAGTATACCAAGACATTTTGGACAATTTCATGCTTATGTTGGGGATGGCCTGTTCCTGTTCCAACATGACTGTGCACCAGTGCACAAGGCAAGATCCATAAAAACATGGATGAGTGAGTTTGGTGTGGAAGAACTTGACCAGCCTGCACAGAGTCCTGACCTCAACCCAATAGAACACCTTTGGGATGAATTAGAGCGGAGACTGTGATCCAGGCCTTCTCGTCCAACATCAGTGGAGGTCAGAACCTCACAAATGCGCTTCAGGAAGAATGGTCAAAAATTCCCATTAACACACTCCTAAACCTTGTGGACAGCCTTCCCAGAAGAGCTGAAGCTGTTATAGCTGCAAAGGGTGGGCCAACATCATATTAAACTCTATGGATTAAGAAGTTGTTACTCAAGTTCATTTGCATGTGAAGGCAGACAAGCGAATACTTTTAACAATACTATCCCATACACTGGAGCTGCAATGGGAACACCAGGAGGCAGAGCTCAGCTCCCTCCTTCAGTATCACACCTTTGCTAAATTAATAGCCTAGACTTGAAAGATTTGCTTCCATACTCAGTCTGAAGCTGATGAACAAATGTAAAATGTTTGCCCTTTGTTTGACTTTATTACATCGCTCCATCCATCACACAGCAGCAGGTTTGATACATGACATGTGCTTCTGTAAAACTACCTGCAACTGCCACCACTCAGAAAGGCTGGTATATAGCGTTCATACCACAATACATTTGAGCTTAAGGCGCCTAAATGTCCAGTAGCAGCCCTGTCTCAGGTTTTGATACACTTGTAGAAAAATTACTGTCTAGCTCGTTTTTTTCCTCTGTGTGCTTGTTCACAGACTGCACACATAAACACACACACAAGCCTTTCATCCCTTACACCCCAAACAGGTTCCACACAGGCTGAGCTGGATATAAGTTTAATAAACAATTTAGAAGTCATTCATCCTCTGAAGCCAGATTCTTTGACTGGCATCTGTTTTATTGGCCGCCTCAGCCAGCAAACCTTAGTGGAAGTGTCACTTCCTCAGTACTATGCATAAATAATATGTCTTTTGTATGAATATATTTTTTTCAATGATTATATTTTGTAACCATTCTTTAGTATATCAATTGTGTGATTTAAGAATGTTAACACTGTTATATTCTTTTTTTAGTATAATATGTGTGTGTGTAGAAGTGAATCATTTATTGCTTGCAAACCAATGATGGTAAGATGATGTCATGGGGTAGGACTGGATAAGTCTGACTTCTTCCTACTCCATTCAAGCATGTACTAGGTATAAGCAAATTGATATTGGATTGTGTGTAAAAATGTGTGTTGTTATATCAACTGTTTTATATGCTTGAAAGAATAAATCAAATCAAATCAAATTAAATCAAAATCAAATCAAATCAAATATATAATCAGTGTGACTTATTGAAATGTTACATTAAGCACTACAAGTGTTTGTAATGTATTTTTAAGTGCTAATTTACTTTTAATGGTACTTTTAATGTTGCATTTGTTATACAGATTATATTCGTGAAATGTTTGCAGTTCCTGAGAAATGTGGCTAAGTAAGCTGTGTCTGAGCTGCCTGTGGCAAGCAAACTGTACGAATGACCATTCTGCTCCTGTCTAGACAATATTTAGAAAAGAAGCAACCCTCCCATCCATCATTCAGCTACATTATTTAACACAGTTTGTTTCACTAGCCAACTGAGCTCATTTACCACTGCTATACTAATGTTGTGGTAAATTAAAAGTAATGGAAAACAAGAACACATGCATTTATGCTTTTTTACTACATTGCTAAGTCCATGTTCATTGCAACACACTTATATGATTCTGTAAGGTTAAAGTGTCAATATAGGAAATGGTTTCACCCTTTATTAGATCCTTTCCAATGATGATTATCACCCTCCATTCCCCCTTCATTCAAAACTGTCATAAACAGAGAGAATCCAGAATCTTACCAGAAACAAATGTGAGGACTCTCCACTGAAGGAAGGAAGCAGGGACGAGAGGGCTGATGACGAGAGGAAGGATCCTCCAGAGCTGGAGAAGGCAGTGGTGCTGCGGTAATCACCAAAGGTGTCTGGGTAGTAGCTGTCAATGAAGGAGGAGTAGCTGGTCATGGTGGAAGGCTCACAGCCCAGAGGCTTACCACCCAGTGTGGAGGAATACACGTCCGGGGAGAACTGCTTGGTGGACCCACAGAAGTCTGAATCGGAGATGAAGGGACGCCTCATGCCATAGTAGCTGGGCACCATATGAGACCCTGCAGAGGACAATATAAAGTATTTCCCCATCCTCCTCATGGCAGCAGTGTATGGCAGTGAGTGATTACCACAATACATACACCTCAAATCCTTGAAATGTGCAGACAGCAAAGTAACAATGCTAACTGGAGTCCCCTGAGTATTAAGTACTGTAATAATGCTAATGCTAACTGAGATTATACTAGCAGTTATCCTTGATGTTTAGTTTCATTGCAGTCTCACCTGCCATTTGGACAAATGAAGGTGGAGTGGTCGATCCTCCCTGTGACCGAGAAATAACACCAGGAATGAGTCATGCAAACTGGGAGACATTTTCATCATGTGTAGATTTGCAGTGTGACAGGAATATCAGAAGGCATGGGGTGACATTGACCTTTTTTTTTAGTTCACATGCCAGATTCAGTGCTGACTGCTTGGTTTGACTGTTTCTTTATTTGGTTTTAGTCTTTTAGCCACTTGAAAACAATGGAGCTCCTCTCATTGTTGTGAATTAACAATTATTATACAGTCAAGATGAAGCTAACGAAGAAGTGTCACACATCATTATCACAATATATTTTATACTCTGTGTAATAATTTAATATTGGGCGTGTCATCCATGGATAGTTGAGTTTGTTTGGGGCCTCCTATAAACCCAATTGTGTAAGTTTTTTAATCAAACTGACAGAAAAAGCACTCTGTGTTTGTGTCAATCTAACCTTAATAATAATAAAAAAATGTATAATACTACTGCTATTCTGAAACATAAAATCAAGGAAAAAAGATGAAAAAGATGGAAATATAGAATTAAACATAATCTGGTGACGACATAATCTTCTGAAAAGAATTCTACAAAACTGTGTTGACAGTATGGAGCTAAAAGTTCACTGATTCTAAAAGAAATCTGCTGCCACTGCTTTTAAATTATGATGCGGTTTCCAGCTTGTGTATCTTGATGCTCAGACAAGGCCAAGAGGTTCATCTGTAGGGTGGGTAGATAGTACAAAGAACAGAAAAGCAGAAAAAAATACTTTGCCACACAGAATTGTTTGGTTGATCAGACACTTCATGAATGTTGGATTTTTATTGTGTAGTACTGTGTAAATTTTATTCCTTCTGTCTTATGAAAGTACTCATATAAAACATACAACCCACATGCACCTGGGGAAAGCAGACATTTCATTTTAAAAGGTCACAAACTGAAAAGGCTCAGAATATGCAGTATATTATAAAGCACCTATATACAATAGAGCTGGTACAGGGGCACTGGCTAAACCTAAATGCAGACAGGGATCCTGGGCCTTAATAATAAACCAGCTAATAAGCCTACTAAAAGTGGAAATTTGTACAAGGTTAGTTAATTAACAGTCAGTTTACACAAGTAAATGTGCCAAAGAATGGGAGAGCATTCATATGGAGGTTAAACAGGGTTTACCCATTATTTGGCCCAGAGAGGGGGTGTCAGGCCATGCTGTCATAAATCTTCAGGGCCTCTCAAAAAGCAACACCATTTCCAGACCTAGCCTACCCTTAACACAAAGCATCCCTGAACCCCATCTTCACCCAAGCAAAGAACAGACATGTGGCTTGACACACACAGTATCTGCTCTTTGACCTGAATGGCTTGTAAAGTAATAATAATAAAAAATATTGCATTTTCTGTGATCTTTATATTATATCTTATATTTAGAGGTGTTTGTAATATACTGACCTTCTCAAATATATAGCTGGGGAAGATCAAAATATGGAGACACCTCTGAATATAATATAATCCAGTACAACACCACCTTTAACTATGACCTCAATAATAAACATATAATCGAATGTATACATTTATGACAATTTCACCAAAAACTGAAACATTTTATATATAGATTCATATTTGTTTAATATATTCATAAAAATGAATAATTCACTTATTAGCTAATTGAATGTCACTGACTCTGTATTTTGGGAAATAAGTGCTTCATTTCACATGAAAACATGGTGATTCAGCAAGTGCTGGACTCTTTCAGGGGAGCTGCAACCTTAAAAACAAGTACAATCCAGAACAGGAACTGTGCTATGACACTGTCATATGTATTGTGTGTCAGCATGTTCCAGCTGCAACATTTAAATCCATGAGTGCATGATTTGTTAGCCTCAAATTCAACATGACACATCTGGTATTTATGGAAACTTTAGATCCACATTAGAATTCAAATAAAGGTCTGGGGGTTTGAACAGTCTGTACATGCAGAAACAAAAAGGTTAAATCCCAGTGGGTTTCTGTCCTGTTAGCTAGTTCTTGTTTCTCATATTATCCTCAATAAATATTATGTTTGATATTTCATTAACATTAAAGTGTATTTTATATTTTATCTTAATGTTGTTTTAAATATTTCCTGACCAACAACATTTTGTATCGGTCGGTTTGTATTCTAAAAGCTGAGTCCAAGGAAGCTGAGTGCAGAGACATGCAGCTCAGAGACACAGAGACAGGGTTTGACAGGACAAGCTTGTTTGCATATTGGTAACATGAAAGCGCTGATATTAAGCCCATGCTGGCTGGGAGGCAAGCAAATTTTGAGGGCAGAATTTGAATGTGATTTGCCAGAGCCAAGACTTCCTCATGTCGCCCAGGTATGGCTCAGTGCATCTCTCATGGCTGCATATGGAAATCAACTCGCTCAAGCTCGGGCGGTCAGACGACGTACGTGTATGTCTGTATGTTCATGCACGCGTGTGTTTGTGGTGGAGGAAGGGGTGTGGGATAAAGATGATTTATTTTACTGTAAATACATGAGCACAGTGTGCTTATTTTATTTTATTCTACTGGAAAACTCTTCCTTCCTAGGAAAAGCAATGTTCATGTTCTCATTTTTAAAGCACCTGGTACATGCTGATATTTTAAAAATAGTCCCACCTACTTCATACCTTGTGTGTGAGCACACACACACATGCAGTATATAAAATCCCCCTTTACCTATACACTTGGTTCACTTTTCTTTCTTGTTCTGTTCTTCAACTGTACTGAATTGTCCTGAATCTACATCACACACTTTCATTTCTCACTGTCATAGACCATTTATGTAATAGCAGCATATTTGGGCAGCCCACCCCAAAGGGAAGGGTCACAGGAGAGACGCTGGTGAAATGAAATGATGTAAGATCTTTATATTTTCACTGTGGCTCTCCGTGTTCCAACATGAGGAGATTTGCTCTGTGGTCAGAGGTTCCTTGTCTCTCTCAATGGCCTTTTATTCTCAGGAATAAAAGAGCAGCATTACAATAACTAACATAAAGATGTGGAAGGCTTTAGTTATTTTGTATCTCTGCGCATTATAATCCTTCAGTGAATTATTTATAATGAATTTCCTACACTAAAACATAAATAATACTTAATGTTTATTTGACCCCAGAAAAACATACTGCTCCAGATGAAAACAACTGACATTAAACCACATGAGACTAAGGGCTGTTTCAGACTCTATATAAATGCACCTGTAAATGTAAAGGTCACACAAATATTTATGTACATTTACTGTAAGCAGTGGCTACCCTACATCTTAGGAGATGCAATACACTGCTCATCCAACAGGGGGCAAGAGTCACTAGCTCCTTTTACATGTTCTGGGCTGCATAATTTTGTACGATCTGAAAGAACCCTAAGTGTGAGACTATGCCGATTTTGCTGAACTGTGGCCACGGGTGGCAGTTAGAGGATAAGGATGAGTGCTAAAAAAGCAAAGAATACTTATAAAGCCAGGTATAAATCTATAACTATTGAAAGTTTGCTGACATTAGCCAACTGGTCATATCAGATCAGCTGAAGCTGTAGCAGCACAACCCTTAAGTGTATTGATCTGGTCAAGGGTACATTTTAATGCCTATTAATTCAAATTTTTAGAGGAAGAAATGTGTTGTTTTTTTTTTCAGATGGGAGACAAATGTGCTGTACTGCTGTACATACTTACCTCTGCAGTTATTACACTGGTCTACCACCAAAATGCTTCCAAAACAAAAGTAATTAATCCTTACTAGTTCTTTGGCATTGAAAACAAATCTTGATTGGCTCTGGTTTGTAAGATATGACCCTGGCAATGTATGCATTTTGCTTGAAAATGACTGAACTTTGTCAAACTACTGAAGGAAAGATCTCTGGGCAAAACCAGAAACTGTAACCAAAACTGTTGGTAGGTCGAATGACAAAATTCTTAATTTGTGATACAACAAGCTTGTTAGGTGAAACATTAGACTGGTTAAACAAAAAGTTTGCACAGACATTCTATACATTGTAAAAGCTATAGCCAATCAACTCTATTAAAGGTCACATTTGATTCAAGCCTCAAAATCCATAAAAAAAATAACACATTTCAGTTTGTTAGCAGAAAACTTTTTTAAGCTTTGTAGACCCGTGTTATTGTAACAATGACAATGAAGGTCCTCTAACCTTAATGAAGTACTTAATCAAACTGTGAAAATTTGTAACTGTAACCAAGTGTTTATGATTAGGTCTATGACAAAGGTCTGGTGTGCTTGCCCATGGAATGTTTGCATGGGTCGTATTACTGTAACCATGACCTAACTGTGGGGATGACTGTTCTGCTGTATATTGTTGTTCAGTTTGGATAAGAAATAGAGATGCAAATAAAACCATTTTTAGCATTTTGAATCTAAACTAAAAGGATGCCCAAATGTAAAACTTGGTTCACACTGAAGAATTTAGAGGTCATTTCAACAGTTAGGGAGGCTGTGTCATCTGTGCACTCATTGACTTCTGACAAGTAACACATTTCATCCTTTTCAAAACTAAACACAGTAATACTATTCTGCTTATTGTGCAATATTCTGGGTTCAGTATATGCCACTGTCAGGTCTCAGAACTTTGTAAATAAGTTGTATCTCAGCCTCTCTTTTACACAATGGTTCAAGTTGTAATTTTCCTGCAGTTGTAGTTTGTCAGTACTTTGTAACTTATCAACAAGCTTATTGACCTCTAGCGAAATAGGACAGAAACATATACTTTCATTTTATAAAAGCTGCTTTCAGTTAGTCATTAATATTGTTATACAGCTACTTTTAAGATATGAAACCAGTTTTTCAGGGGGTTTAGTAGTTGTCATAGAGTAATAAGCTAAATCAGGATACACACACTGCTCATTTCATGGCGTTTGATGACAATTAGAAGACTATAGAAAACTGATAGCCTTATCTTTGATGGAAAATCATGTTTGGAACAAATGCTAAAAGGCTAATTGAGGCCTGAACTCAATAGGACATACAAATGAGGAAATACAAACTTAACTTTAGTTGGTGTTGCCAGTTAAAGTTGACAACTAAAGTGTTGCTAGCTAAAGCTGAATTTAACCACATCAACTATGTGTCAGAGCAGCTCTGCTTCCGTAAAACTGGTGTTTAAATAAAACTTTGGTCTTTCACCAGAACATGAATTACAAGAATGACTGTTGTTTTGCCTTTCTCAGTCTCATAGTACATTGGTCCAGTGGTTCGGATCGCTTTGCTCCATGCACTGAAAAAAAAAAACACACTGCATAAAAGAACTATAATTTTTGGACTTTTTTTTTTGTTGCATCTGATGTATTTTCCCTTTTGCCTTTCCCACAATCCCCTAATTACCTGAGTCGTTTAGAACCTGCATATCTATAGAGGTGACATGTCAGTGCTAACCAGAAAACAAACAGTGAATGCTGTCCTATAAAAACCTTTTGACAGGCGGTGTATGGAAAATGAAAAGCCAGTCTTGCTTGTGCATGTAGACATCTAAAGCCGAGTCTAAATTCTCTGACCATGTGTGTGTGAGAGAGTATGTGTTGGCATCTGTTTTTGAAACAACAATAGGAGGTTTGTCTGTGAACTACACAGCAGAGGACAATGTTGGCTGGCAGGTGTGCGTGGATCAAACTTTGCATAGGCAGCCTCTTGCACAGTCCCTTTTCTGTCTCTCTATGCTGCCTATCCAACTGAACTCTCCCTCCCGTCCCCGCCTCCACCTCCAGTTTGATGGAGTTTCTGGGAGATGATGGCCCTCGCCATTGCAAGCATTGTGTTAGTGTTCTTTTGTGAGGTAAGGCTGGGACTTTGCGCTTTGTGTCTCTTTCTACACACACTGCACTCATCTATTTACAGGTTGGTTTTGCGAGCCCTCGAGGGGAGGACTGGGGAGGTACAGGTGGTCATTGGCTCAACCATGGATCACTAGTGCACAAAACATGTCAAAATGTAAACAAGGAGATTTTTTTAAAAGGCAACCTCCTAATTGTGCTCCCAACAGAATGTCAACTGTGGCTGCGCTGTTTGGTTTGGGAGGGAAACAAAGTGGGAAGAGACCACAGCAGAACATTAATAGAAGATATTTGCTTACACTGTATCTGGGCCCATTTGTCTGTCGTGATCGCTTCTCAGCCAGCAGGTCTTTGACTGTATGCTTGACTCGAACACCTTGGTACACTCTCTTAGAATAATCTGGATGGAGCAGAAAAACTGTTTGTGGGTATGCATTTGATGAATCTCTGACACAAATCCAGAAACAGTTTGATTTGTTACACGTCATACAAATTTTCATTGATTCCCACAAGTGTGTGTTCATTTGAATGTTTCACAGTTCTATGCATATAGGGGAATCACTCTTTGGGATTGGTGTGTAAATGTCATGGAAATTGCCTTTGGTTTGGTCAATGCAAATGCCTGCTAAAAAGAGGCAATTTACTACAAACATTTGCTGAAACCTCACAGTGAAGCAAAACTCATGGGGTTAGGATGATTTAAAAAGCTACAATATTACAAAATAATTAAAGAGTAATATATAAAATTGAAATTCTGCATGCATGCATTGTAGAAACTGCTCATTTGAAACTATATTAGTTGTCACAAATCTCAAATGTGTGCAGGTGTGATTTGGGGACATTCCTGGGAAGCAGAAGCATAAAGTCACTGAAAATGCAAACTTTATAATGCAAACAGAAATTGCATGCAAAAAACTTTATTTAAAGGATCCCACTGTTTTGAATGGATCTTTTAGATAAGCCCCAACTTTCCTCTGGCCAATGACACTGTTGAAAATAAGTGTTTTTTATTTGGATCACTGTGATTCGATTTAAAAAACACTGAATCACTGTGATCCAATTCAAATAACACTTATTATTTTCAAGAATCTCACTGCCCAGAGCAAAGCTTACCATTGCAGCTTTGAAATTTTTTTTAGAAGATATTGTCCCATATTCAAACAGGTATATGATCTCAATTATATTTATTAGCATCTTTCAGATATCAAACACCAGATGTATTTAGAATACATTTTCTCTATTACTTTGTTCTTGCTGATACATTTGATATTAAAGCAACTTATTCTTTGCAGAAAACCAAAATCAGCATATAAAACTATTGATTTAATTGGCACAGATACTATCAAACAATTGCCAATAATAAACATTCAAGTGTCACACACATGAAAAGCACCTGCCAAGTTCTTCCTATGTACTTCTTCATGAAATTAAAAAAAAAAAATCTGATGAAGAACAGATTAAAATATGTTTTTGCTGCAAATGTTCTACTAAACATTACATCTATTTACAATAATAGTAATGACAGTCACAGCAGCTATTAATCTATACATAAATGAATATCTTACCTGTGTCCATGATGCTGTCTGACACATAAAGACACACATGCACACACACAGACAGACACGCATACACAACCAATCCCCTCTGTTGTCCCTTTGCTGTATTTGCCTGCAGAAGTTAAATCCCAGTGTGCAGCACCATAGTGAGTGGTGTGGCGTGCCACGGTGGGAGCTTAAACCACGATGTCAGGAGGGCAGGGACACATGGAACATGCCACCCCACACTGTAGTCATAAGGAGGCAGCTTTTCAAAATGACATTTATCTATTTGTTTAAATGCAAATGTTTGGTAGGGACGTTTTTTACACTATTTGCATGTGCAGTCAAGATTAGGGGTTGGAAGCATGAGGTACATGGTGGAGACACTGGAAAGCAAGATATAACTCCTTCCTGAACACCAACTCATCATCCTCATTTAAAAGTACAGTATATATTGTTTCCACATTTTGATTTGCAGCTGCTTGATTTAAGTAGAAGTAACAGCTCAGATTGTACCAAAGAATGTCTGTAAGCTGGGGTTTGGCATCTGAAGTCCAACGGGTGGTAAAATACTTGAATTCCCTCTGCTAAAAAAACATTTTTGCACAAAAGGACATTACTGTGATGTTTTTAAATTAAAGTTGATGTGCTGAACTGTACAAAAAACCTTGAGCAAACTAAAGACATTGATCAGCTTTGTTTTGAAAGGACAGGGAAGAATAGCTGGAGTCATGCTTCACTAAACAATTTGTGCCTTGTGTCAGAATGAAGTTCCCAAATGACTTTTTAATTTTTTCTTGACAGAACCTCACAGTGTTTAGCCTTCTGGCTGAGACTCATGATTGATAAAATGTGAACAGTATCTGAAAATTTGCATGAGTTTCCCATACTGTCTGATATGACACAATAAAGATTGGACCTGGTTCCATTCTGACAAATAATTTCATGACATCACTGACACCAGTGAGATAAACTAGCTAAAATAGGTAAACATTAGAGTGACAAAATATATGTCTGCATTTAAATGTGCAATTATTTGAAGACTAATATTTTGAGCATCTTTTCTCTGAGCTTTCTAGCCATGGCTTTATGTTTATTAATTGAACTACTCATGTAAAATGAGCCAGAAAGAGTCAAACCTTATCCCATATTGAGTTAATATTTATTTATTTATCAAAACAGACTGATCCCATGTTATAAGGGATGGGTAGACACTGTACTAACTTTGGGGGGACACGGGGACACGAGGGACACCGTGTCCCTCGCAGCGCCCTGTGGGGGGTGCTCCGGGAGTACGGGGTCCGGGGCCCTTTGCTACGGGGCATC